TATTTGGTTAGGTATATTTATATATATAAAAATGTCTCATAATTTGTGCAAAAGGCTGTAATAGTAACAATTTATATATATGACTTTCATATTCTGAATACAGTATATCCACTAACCTGAATAGACATTTCATCCAATATCAGACCACCTTCTCTACCAAACTCATCAAGATTACTCTTATCAGCCTCTTTGACAAGCCAGTCCAACACATCATCATTCAGTCCTGCACTCTGTTTCACTGAGTTCTTGTACAATGACAACAACCTTCCTGATGGCAGTTTGAACATACCATTCTCTTGTAATTGCTTATATGCATCAGGGCTTCTGGTCCACACAGAAAGGCAAAGGCTTATAATCCTGTTAAAATACATTTTTTGTTWATTGTTAATATTGGGATAGTGTAATTTGTACTAATCAGGTGTCTTGTATGTAACATATTAATTTAAAACTTCAAAGCATTTCCAAATTCATTGGTTTGTTTGCATTTTTTCTTTTCTATTTATTCACCAACATTATTTTACTATCAATGTACATGTATTAAGTAATCCAATGTACAATACTCCATTTTATAGTTCCAGGCACCATCTTGAAAGGTAGCCTTTGYATGAAAGCGAGACAGGARTTGAGTCTGCAATGATAGATACCTTTTGTTCACACCTAAGACAATTATTCACAGGTATCTATCACTGCAAGCTCAGCTCCTGTCTCGCTTTGATGCAAAGACTCAGCTACCTTTCAAGATGGCACCTGGAACTCTAAAATGGAGTATTGCATACATCTGCTATACCTCAAAATGTTCCTTATTATGTAGTAAACATATTTTGCTTGGCCTCCTTACTTAGAATGCCATCTATTTCCTCTTGCATCAGATTTTTCTAGAACTTCTTTCTGTGCTTCCCCAGAACATTCTCATTTCTTCTGGAATGTTATCCCCTTCTAATCCTGCAAACATTTCCTTGAAATCATTGTGATCCTCTTCGGTAAATTGATCCATTTGATCTTTGATATCTTTCTTCATTTTAGCCGCTCGTTCTGCTCTTTTAGATAGATAGATATGTTTAATCGTATCTCTTGCAGTATAGACTGAATTACAGATACGGGTCAGAAACGATAAATTACACACTTGACAAGTCTACATACATACATATATGAGGAATAAATAATTCAATGTTCATCAGTCCAATTCTCAGTTCCTAAATGATATGTCCCGGGCATGCCTGTTCGTCACGAAATCCTTAAATCGGTTGGTGTTAGCCGGTTTGATGTGAGTGACTGGAGCACGCAGATTGTAACGTGCGGAAGTTTGTTCTATCCTACATTTAACTTGCCTGTGTACTGGGTTTTCCTTTGACAAYTGCTGAATAAATTGACGACATGCTTCCGATCGTCTTAAATAAAGTGGCTCTAACTGCGCCACATAAAGGGCGTCGTTGTTTTTTGTTTTTTGTTTTTTTTGTTGTTGTTTTTGTTGTTTCTCTGCATTCTTTGCACGTGTCTGCTCTGCCTGGAGCCTGCTTGTTTTAACACTAAAAAAAAAAAAAAAAAACCTCATCTGGGCTCATATACGACAGTCTCTTCTTCTTTACTTGCTTTTCGTTCGATTTACATTGCACATTGTTTAGCCTCCGGTGGCAGTGGCTACGAATACTCTCACAATTTCGACACTTCAACTCGCGCTCATTACATATCATTAAACAGTCAACATATGAATCTTAGCTCCGTTTTCATCGTTCATCTGCCACAGTTCGGTCACTCCAATGACAGCCCCCTCTCTGTTCTTGACTGGACCTTGAATCTTAACCTCAAAACCTTTGCACTCCGCAACTGCCGCACAAAATTCAAATACATTGTCAAGAAACTCCTTTGTAATGTCCCTTTCATTATCTAATGAGAAAACTTGTTTTCCCATAATGAAAAACGTTATCGAAAAGTCCTTGCTTATGCGTAGCTCTCTGGTTACTACTTTACCATCACAAAGCTCCTCATTTGGTACTATCATSCATTGAATACATTCAGTGTCAACCTTCTTGATAACTGTCCAAGTCATTATTGATTCACTAGGCTYTGGAGGGGTGTAAGCATTCAAAACTTCTTCCCACGATATACTAGTCTTCGTCGCACTCGCAATATTRAAATATACACTRCACCTTCTCTTTCCTTTGCGTTCTCTCTTTGCRTATGGAAATGCCCACTGAATCGTTCGTCCGAGTTCTTGTTCAGGTATATCAAATGGGACACTTGAAACTAAATCCTCCACAGTAACTCCATTTGATCCTGTACATTTTCCACACATCCTCCACAACCTACATYGCAAAATTGTGTTTATTACATGTAAATGATGTCTTTGATATGGCCATGGCGTTACGAACAACATCAAGCTTATTTTTCTCAAGCTATTCTCTTAGTAAGCTTAAGTTAACTTAAGTTTTTAAAGCTTACCGTTTGGCCACAGTAATCCCTTTTAATCCCATRGGTTGAAGGGAACAGTCTCCTTCTTGCTCCTTCATGTTAAAAGTGATGAAGTTTTGCTCTTTCAAGCGAAATGAAAATTGAGATTACGCTCAATGAACTGCGTACAAACGCGCCACATACGTACGAAAAGTATTAAGAATTCGTCATCATTTCTCGTCTTACCATCGGATGTTTCCGATAGGTCTCGAAGTCTGTACGAAAAAAACGATAGGGAGGGATAGACAAGCATGCTGGTGCACRCATCGATCCATCACGTGACCAGTGTTTCATACCTTGTCACAGACTTGTTTGWATCCCGCGAGGCACGGGACGTGACGTAATACCACAGGTAATCCGCAATTCACTAAGAGCGCGCGCCGATAGTAGTACTAGCGATACTAGCGTAAAAGCGTGCGCATTCATTCTTTTCTTTCTCTCAAGCAATAGTTGGAGTAGTGGTAAAAGGCCGAAACTGGCGACTTTTTAACCCCTTTTAATCCTTTTCTAACGACCCGCCCACACGGCTAGCTGCCCGATTTTTGGTTAAAAAACGCGCTTTTGGGTCAAAATTTACCACTACTATGAGAATTAATACTAGAGCGTCTATTTTAATAACTGTTCGCGTATATTTCGGAATGTGTGTCATTTTTACCAAGGAAAGAGGGGTTGCATAAAAAATTACTGACTGGATAAAATTGTCCGATATAATCAATTATAAAATTTTAGAATAATATGGAATGCTTATCTTATACAACAAATTCTTAAAAATAATCACATCTCCTGCTATTGCTACTGCCATTCTATGTATAAAATATTTCCTTTATATAGAATGGAGGAAGAAAGAGAACATTACCAATCTTTGTGGAACGAAGCCGTTAAAAAACATAGAATAAGACTTGAAGAAAAAGAGTCAGAAAGCTCTGATGAAGAAGAGATAGAAAAGATAAACATTGATAGTATTGTAGAGGAATGTAAGTCTAGATGTCAACTTACAAGAAGCTGGGTTAAGACCCTATTAAGGGAAAGAGGTTTTCATACTGAAGATTATAAAGATTTTGAAGAACTTTATGAGGCTATTATAAAAAATGTGTATAATATAGACGAGACTTCTAAAATTATAAGACATGCTTATAAATCTGTTGGCTTARCGATTTTGAGATCAATTCTTTTAAGATAAAAAATACTTATTATAATCAAAACTTATTTTTTATTCATCCCAGAAAACTCTTCTAGAGCATTCCATGCAATATTTAAAATAAACATCATTATTATGACGATGAGAATTAATAATATATAACGCCGATTTTAATAAGGTCTCGTATTGTGAATTAGTTTTATATTTGTTATATATAATGAGTCGCGTGAATGATGAGTTTCAACTGCTTACGGATAGTATTAATAGTCTTAGTAGAGATGATTTAACTGATATCTATAMTAGAATTTCTGGAATTAAAAAGAAAGCGACCGCTATTAAGGGATTCCTGAATACTTATGAAATCGAGGGTGGAAGGATAGCTCCAAATGTATTTCTAAAAAGGAATAAGTMTARGGTRGTAAATTTAATAAATAGAAAAGAAAAGCCGATTAAATCTAATATAGTTCTAACTTGCGAATTCTATAAAAGAAAT